TTTTAATCTCTCATTTGTTATAGTATTCCAAGTTTGTATTCTTAAAAATATTCTTTTCACTTCATTTTCATTTAAAAGGTTTCAACAAATCAGATTCTGTAAAAAATTAAAAAAAAAAGGAAAAAGAAACCCATTTGATTTTAATGATGACTTAAACTTAATACTATTTGTATTGCAATTTATGCTGAAATTAGAATTTTGTAAAATTATCATAATTCTACAATAATAAATTGTATATGCTGTATTATGATATTTATTTAGTATTTAATTGGAGAGTATTATACAATCAACTTTTTCTATAGCAAATTTTAATATAACAAATTTCATGATATAACAGATCTATAGTATGATACAGATTTTTAATATAGAAAATCCTTACTATACCAAATTTATTAAACTAAAATTCATATTATGTTTAATGAATTTAAGTGTGTAAATATGCATTATATAAATACTTCTTTGTATAATGCATTTATTTATAATGAAGTTTTTTTTTAATATAATGAAGATTTACAAAAATGAATTTTAGTATGATGCAAACAACTTAGTCACATCCAATGATTTTTATTGATTTCAAAATATAAAGGAATTTTATTTAGACATATAACTATTAAAAAAAATATGTTATTTAATAACCTTTGATATAGTCTATAAAACTATGTATTTGTTTTGTCCACTTTATTATAAAAATTTTTTTAGTTAGGATTTTTTTAACGCTAATTTTAATAGCAATAGGAAGATTTTTAGCACAACCGATATCACGTGAAAATAATATGATTAGTGCGTATTATTCACATGACCATATTTGATTAAAGAACAAAAAAATTTTACATATTATCAAATTCTTTCAAAACAGTTTCAGAAACCCTATTATGAGACCGATATCATTTAATTGCAAAAACAGCCACCTTACCTAAAAGTCTAAGCTCATAAGTACTCATATAATACGCAGAATAACGTAAAAACTGGCAAATTTTTGTTAGGCTAATGAAATCTAGTACACATGGTACAACCTCCTTAAGATGATTAAACGAATAATTGCAGTGAAGATATGAGTACTGCTTCATCTCTGCCCAAAAAGACTCGATGTAATTAAGTTTGTAGTAGAATTTCAGGTAGAATATACACATATGTCCTGCTGCTTCAATAACCCAAAAAAATAAGTATTTTTAATTATATTTGTTATGTTTGAATAGTGAATATCATATCATACTAATTGCAACTTACTTCTTATATGTGTATCCTTTGTGATGCAAAGTCAGGTTAGGTAGAAAGGATGCATATTATGCAACAGTCCATTTTATTTGGATTAGAATTATATTGTGTACATGTACTGCACTTTCTTTTCAAACCTGATATCCATAAACTGTGTTCTTCAAGAACTCGTCAAATACTTTTAGGCTTTACAACACCATTAACATCCATAAATGAGGTGAGCTATTAAGCATTTTACCATTTGAAGGAGTGGTTGTTTTTCGTCATCTTTCATGTTCATTCTTAAAACCACTAATATATCATTAGTAAGATTATAACTGTTATTGAACATGAAAAGTGCGACTTTTCCTGAATAAGTACATTCAAATATTAGAATAGCCTGCTCTTTTATTTGTTTAATAACATCCTTATTTGTTCACTAGCTATCACGATTCGTATCAGAATACATTGTCATGCAAGCTTCAGTGTACACTAGTTGCTCATCATTAGAAATTAAATCATTAGTAGAATAATCCTCTTCTATAAGCTGAAGTTGTCTAATAGATTCATAAAGAAAGTCATTTACATGAATACTAAGGCCTTATGACTTACGATGAAGCTATTCACTTCTGTAATTTTGCCTAATGTTGCAAAAATCGATGTCTATCTGCCACTATGTTTTCACATTCATAACTATCAAAGTAAATATTTTTTGAGTGATTCTTATATTCCCAACCAAGCATATGTAGTCATTCATGTGAAGTTAAATAAGAGATACTTGCCTTTTCTTCTATTCTAATGGCAGGGATAATCTCATCCTCAATGAATTTTACAAAATCAGCAATGTTCAATGTATGCATATAAGTATTTAGTAACTTACAATTTAACATCTTCATGCAAAAGGATGGACCTTATTTTGCATGTCATTCATGTTTAGATGAAACAATTATATCATTATTTAGCTATTGGTTTACTCAGAAGTAGATAAGCTGTATTTGCTATAGACCTTTATTCAAGCTTTGAGCAAAAATATTACTTGCATCCATTTTTGTGTATCCTTAGTTCTGAACTAAGTGGAAAAATTGACTTACCATCTGAAGCTGCAAATCATCTTTCTTTTTTTTAATAAAAAATCTAGTAATTCTAACGTAAATTCATTATTATCATCGCTGCTATCATATACATCAAATGTGAGATCATTGTTGTTTGTATTAGACTTGGCAGCTTCATTTACTAGAAACATTTCAGTGATTTTCTTAGAAACTGAAGTTGCTTTTCTGTAATATGCTCTTTTATTATGTAATATTAACTTTGTATCACCAATGTATACTGATTTACGTGAATCTACAGCCCATGCATATGACTTTATATTTTTAACTAGTTGTTGTAATGTACCTGATTTTCATGCTTGCATTTTATCTGTAATTTCATTACTATCAAAATATGCTTCCTCACCTTCTATCCAAAAAGTGCCAAACTATGATTTATCAAATTCATCAGATTCAGTATCTGATAGTTCAAGCATTATTTCCTCAAAAATTTTTTGCTATTTTCAACATTTCTTGATGGCTTCTCAGGACTGTCTAGTAGTTTTGACATTTTATTAAATTGAGATATAAAAAAAAAGTTAACGCAAATGATGTAAAATGACGTAAAATATCATGATTTAATTAGTATCACGTGATTAAAATTGGTCACGTGCTAGAATTTCGACCAATCAAATTTTGATTTTAATATGATAATAATTAATAAGATTTTTAGCGATGGCTTAGCCATTTAATGTGACTAAGCTGTTTGTACCATATTAATTATATTATAGATTATTTTATTGTATTATAATTTTTTATTTTCTGAGCTATAACAATAAAAAATATCTATAATTATAATACGTTATAATCATATATAATTATATAATAATAATAAATAAGTGATATAAACAGATCTGATTATAATATATTTTTAATAAATATTTATAATATAAAATTATAGAAAAAGAATCTTATGAATAAAATATGATTGTATATATTAAAATAAATATTTATAATATAAAATTATAGAAAAAGGAATCTTATGAATAAAAATATGATTGTATATATTAATCTATAATATTTTAGATAATTTATCACTAAAATAATAAAAATTGATAAAAAAAATCTAAATAAATATTTTGTTTGTTATTTCTATTAGTAATAAAATTTATGAAAGAGGTTTATTATATTTATTTATTATTTTAATATTTATAAATAAGATGTCAATTTTTAATTATTATTTAATATTTATTTTACTGATAATTCTTAATAATCATTTATAATATAGATTTATTATTATATTGATATTAATTATTTATAATTTTATAATAATTTAAATGCTGTTTTTTAAAAAATAAATCTATAATCTTTAAAATTAATTATCAGATATTTGATATATATATAATTAATTATATTTTATTATTTTATTATAGAGGTTGGAACTAATCCAAAAATCCTTAACCGGTTAATAACAGGTTAAAATTTTCTTTACCTGGTTAATTAACTGGTTAAATTTAACTCAGGCTGGCATTATAAATTTGGGCAAAATTAAGTAAATTTTATAATTGCAAAAAAATTTTATTCTGCCTGAAAATTAAATTTTAGTTAGAGTTAACATTAGTTATTTTAATCAGTTAAAAAAAATCTTTAACCAGTTAACAAGATAAATGTTTTAACTGATTAATTAAACAGTTAAAAATTAAATGATTCCAACCTCTATTTTATTATTTGATCAGTAATTAATATATTAAAAAATTTATTTAATTATACAAATTTAATTTTATCAAGTCTTTTTTAAGTTAAAAGATTAAGATTAAATATAATTAATCAAATTAAATATTATTAAATTTTCACATTTTATAAAAAAATAAAAAATACTTAAAACATATATTTTAATAAATAATATTTCAAATATATATGTATTTTTTTATAATATTAGTTTTTATAGTAAAAATTATAGATGATTATCAGTTCAATTAAAAATTATAATGTTAATACTAAAAATTTATAATACTTAATTAATTAAAAGTAGCATTTTTATTTTTATTTTCTTTATTATATAAAAAAATATATAATTAAAAATAATATATATTTAATTAGACCTTGATATAATCACTTAATATATAAATATTCTTCTTTATATAATCACCTATATTTATGAAATATATTTAATTATTATTAAAATTTTCTCAATATAACATATTATTCTTATTAATATTTACCTTTTATAATTATTATAATTTTGGTCAAATCTTAATTTTAACCAAAATTATGCATATGTTTATCATTAATTGATATAATCATTACAAACAAAAATATTTATTTAACTATTTTTCAAAAATTTCGATTTTTGATACATTTGTAGTTAATAATTTATTTGTAATAAATTTTTATCTAAATTTGTTATAATTTATAAAATTATTTTAAATTAGATTTTAATAATATAACTTTGATTTATATTATTTATTTTATTTATTATAGATCATTTGTATTTGAAAAGGTTTCACCAAATAAGTCAATTGGAATTAGATTAATATTATGTCATTTATATAATAAACCTACAATGAGGTATAAGAATCATATACTAATACTCTGAATTTATATATTTTTAAATAAAAAGAACCACCATTTATTTTAATTGAACCTGATGAATTATAAAAACACTTTTTTTTTAGAAATGAAATTGAAATATTATTGATTACTGTTATATGTTGCTATTTTGCATCAGAAATGTTACTTATATTCGAATATATTCTACACAAATAGATTGATTTCTATTTATATTTTTCTCGCTTTACTTTCTGTTTCAAAAATTAACATACGCCATAATTTCATTACGAATAGTTCGGATTCTTCATCTAAAGTCTATAATGGAAAAAATATTTTTTAAAAAGTTGGTTCTTAAATCATTTCAGGTTTTGAAACCTTGAACATATGAATTATACAATTTCATACCATCTCCATCTCCTTGGTTAAATTTGCAGCCGACTTTTTATTACGTAAATGATCCATTACAAAGAAAACTAATTCATCTTCTTGTACGCCAAGATATCCGACAATTTTTTTACTTACGAATGGCTGTAACTTTTTGTTAAGAATATTCTGTTGTAAAATAATGATTATTTGATACCAAAAATTTTATTTGACACAAATCACGAGTATCCGCGGAATAATATATTAAACCATAACATATATCAAAACGGTCATGGCAAAGCAAAATTTGTGAGATAAACAAGGGTAAAAAAAATTATGTACCTATATGTATAATAACTTACCTCATCTAATTCTTCCCATTTGACATTCCAATTCCAAAGTCCTTCTTTATCTGTTGGTATATTTTCTACTAAGTCTTTAATTTTCTTTTTCCTTTCTTCTGTTTTTCTTTCATCGTCCTCATTATCACTATATTCTAACGGAACTAAAATTCGACGCTTTCGTTTTGATTCAATACCTTCTTCGTCATCAAATTCCTCTTCTTCGGCAGGAGCCATTAATGCTGCACGACGTTTTGAAGCAAGATTAAGTGTTAATTTAGCTTTAACATTATTATGTTGTGAAGTACCATTGGTAGAGTTTGTTGAAATCTCTTTTTCTGCATTTAATTCCATTACTATAGCTTCTTCACGTTGCTTTCTTTCTTCCTCAAGCATTCGTTCCCATTCTATTCGACGCTGCTCGGCGTCAATGTCTTGTTGCTCGCGTAACCTATCCGATTCGTCCAAAGCCAATTCACGTGCTCTAAACTGTTGTCGATGAAACCACCAACGAGATCTGTATATAAATTATCGAGGAGGGGGAAAAAAAAAATCAATGGAATTACTAATTTACAATGACAAAAAAAACAAATAAATAATAGGCACACGTACCTATCTCTGTAATATTCTTCTTGACCCCTTTCAGCCTCAACATCATCGTCCCATTCTGCCAACTTTCTTGCCATTATTTCTCGATCTCGAATTTGTTTTTCTCTAATATCTAAATCTCGTTCTGCTTCACGCTCACGATTTGTTGCCATTGTCTCTTCTCTATGTTGCCACCTCCTTTCTCTCTAATATAAGATAATTATTAATATACTATAAGACAAATATATACACACAAGGATATAATACCTCTTTAAAAGCCATTTCCATTTCGGTCTTCCTTTTAGCTTGCCTGCGTTGTTCCTCCTCTTCATCATCAAAGACATAAGATTCACGTCTTGGTTCCCTCGCAGGAATGAAATTTACAGATTGATGAAAGTGTCCATATTGCCGATCTCTATCCCGCTCTCTTTCCCTCTCTCTATTTTCCTTTCCATGAGAACGCTCTCTTTCTTTCTCAGCCTTGGCTCTACGACTTGCTCTTTCTTCTTCTTCTCTTTGACGTTCTCGTTCTCTTGCCGCAGCACGCTCTCGAAAGAAAGCGATTTCTCGGTAAATAAGATCTTTTTGATCCGGAGGAAGATCCGCCGGTAAATCTGTGTCATCATCTTTTTCTCCATGTTCCATTTTTAATTCTGAAGCTGGCGATCGAAGTGATACCCTATTTTCTTGGTGCAAATGTAGTAAGTGGGATGTCGAATCTTTTCTATCCTGTGGTTTAGTCATGTCTTCGACAACATTTATGACGGATAACAAAGCATTTTTGTCTAATTCTGTATCATGCTGAAAATAATTAACAACATTAATTAAGGTTTAATAATTCGATTTATAGAAACGATTCGAATACAAACCACTGTTCTTGGCCTTGATGCTTCGTATTGATCAAGATACTTTCTTGTATTCTCATCAGCTTTAACCTATCGTTCATATATGTATATATATATATATATATATTTTTTGATTATAATGTTATTTTTATAATGATATCGTATAAGGATTAGAAATTGATAAGAACAATTGCTTACTATTAATTTTTTTCCAGTGGCACCTTCTTCTAAGGCTGGAAGTACGACACCCTTGTCTTTCTTTTCATCACCGGTACCTTCACCACCAAGTACACGTAAAGCACGTAACACACTATCAGCATCCGCATATTCTGCAAACCCAAAACCCTTAGGATTTCCGGATTGGTCTTTAACCCGTTTCCAAGTTTTTAACGTACCACAAGTCTTTGTGTATTTGCCAGACAAGCAAATCGAGAAATAAAAATCAAAAAAAAAATAGTAGGTCAGCCAAAGTATTAATAAACCCACACCTGAAAATATCCACGCGCGCCCAATATGTGTATCAAAAGATTCAATTCAAGACTAAAATAATTCAAATCGAAAACTAACTGGGAAAGAAAATTTTTAGCATCCTGCCGAATATAAGATCAGATCATAATATAATGTCGTAAAGAAATTATACAAAAGCTTTTCTGAATCGCACCTACAAAATTTACGCCTCCTTTCAAAGTTCCAAGTTCATAAAGAAATCCAATTTGATAAACAATAAAATCTCCTTTTCTTATTATACCTTCGATTTGGTAAAATCATAGTCAACTTGTTGACAAGGATCGATATTTTATAGCATTCATTTACCCACCAAAACAAAATTAAATAATTTATCACTACCTTGAGAATTTTTTCCATCCAATCATCAGTTACACCCGGTGATATTCCCCCAATGAAAAGAGTTGTCAACTTTTCTGCTTCTGGACCTGGAGTCGCCATTTGTGGTGCACTACCCAAGGGCATAACATGGCCATGAGTAAAATTTTGTCTAGGACCCATATAACCCGATCGTTGCGATGGACCGCCAGGAGCATAGCCACCTCGTGTAGTGTGTCCATAAGTAGGAGGACCTCCCGGTTGAACATAAGGTGGTCTTTCATAAGTTGGGGCACGATACGGAGCTGCACAACAACAACATTAAGTAAATCAACAAGAAGTGAATTATCATAATAATTTCATATTTATTAAACTAGTAAAGTCATGTGAACTCAAATCTTACCATAATGACCTGGGCGATAAGGATCCATAGTTATATTTTGTAAATAACTTCCTTAAAACTCAATAGAAGTATCAAGGCACTATGAATTACCAAAGATCTATATAAACTCTGAACTAATAAATGTGTCAAGATCTGAATCTACAAACACCACCTGTTGAAAAATTTATTTAGTATCCAAAAGCCAGGTAAATGAACCATGTACTACTACGTATTAGTAGTGCGTTTGTCGATCATTACTGTATAAGTGATATATTTTTTGAAAAAAGGAAAAAGGGTAACATCTCATTAATGAAACGCAATACAAATGTTCCGAGTGATTATTTCCTTTCAGGACAGGACATTGAAATGTTGTAGATGCTATCGGTGAGCCATTGAAAGCTAGAGTGTAATATCCCATGGAATTTTCTACATGAAGAAACGATAACATCAACACCGAGAATTCATGGTCAATTGCTTTGACAGAATCAAAGACATTACGAAGACAGAATACTATATACGACTTTCGTTATTTAGAAGTGACTAGCAAGTTTCAATATGTCAGGCGCTCAGAAGTTAGTTTCTTATACACAGGAATGATATATTTAACCTCCATCTAGGTTTGACAACAATACAAAGTATATTTAATCACGATTTGATCCGGACTTCACGCAATTAATTAATGCATTTATTTATTTACATAATCCAAAATTAATTTATATCTTTTAATGGCGGGTAAAGATAAATTATCAAATTTAATTTAACGTTTGACCCTAAAAAATTATAAATAAATATCATTAGTTTGTTGCATTCTACATGAATCCTATAAGCAAAGAGAAAGAGAAGCATTAAATGTACCATGTATATCTCTTCCTTGCCTTCGCAAGACCGGGTTTCTTTCGCTCGACCACACGAGTATCACGCGTAACAAGTTTAGCTGAGAAAGGGGGTGTGTTATTGCTACGCGCAAAAGGAGTCTCATAAAAAAAAAAAAAAAAAAAAAAAATTCGATTCATCATACCTTCTCTTAGAATTGGTTTGAGATCAGAATTGTGTATGATCAACGCTTTAGTAATTCCATGAGCAATTGCACCTGCTTGACCTTTATAAAGTAAACCTAACTGAGCATGAAAGAATTCAATGCATATCAAACTTTTAACACAAGAGATTTAAAAAGTGTTACCCGTCGGGCCACCTCCTTTGACTTTTGTCCAAACATTATATTTTCCAAGCAAGCCAGTCACTTGGAACGGATATAATATCGATTCACGATCTTTTAAGAGAGGAAAATAATCTGCCACTGAGATACCATTAACAAGTACATGCCCGTCCCCTTCTACCACCCAAACTTGAGCGCTTGCCTCCTTCCTTCTGCCTATCGCCAAAGCTCTTCCATAACAATCAACGGTTTTCATTGCCTCTATATCCTTTTTCTCCTTTTCTGGATCATAACGTCTAAATAATTCCAAAAAGTTATGTAATTCGGGGGCAAATTCGGACATAATTTTGTCTAACCGGTGTAACTTTCGCGTGATGGTTCGATATTGATTTGTTTTTAAATGTAAACCTAATTTTTCATCCAAATGTTGTTTCAAAACCCATAAAGTTGGTGGTGCATTTTTGTCAATTAATTTAGTGGGCGTCGTTCTATGTTTATGTAGAAGGTCATCAAGCTGTATAATAAAGTCATTATAAGTTGGTTTGGCTGAAAAGTATGAAATCGATGCTGGTCGTTCAACTTTTGAAAAATTATCAATCGATTCATATTTGTTCAAGCGAATGTTTTGTTGCGTTTTTCCAGTAGAGAAACTTCGGAGAATTACGAAAGAAAATATGGGATTAGGGTTACCGCTACATGGCTTGAAAGTTGTCCGTGAGCATTGACTCTTTAAATTATTTCCCAAAGCTCTCCCTAAATTATAAGCGAATCGTAGTTTGGACATCATTGGTAAAGTTCGGCGAAACGATAATCAATGAAAATTTTTTAATAGATTTTGTATCACAAATTCGTGCAACTTATTAATCCACAAGTCGGTGATCGAAAAAAAAAGAGGTTTTAATTTTATTTATTTATTTTTTCCTGAACAGATGCCCGATAATACGAATATAATTGATTCAAGCATAGCTGCAACAGCTTCAAGAATATTAACACATCCTCGTATGTTTTATGATGAAATATTTTTGTTATCAAATATATATATATCATATATATATTTTTTTTAATTTAATCTTACCCTTTCATCCCAGTTGACACAATTCGCGTCCTTCTTCAAACCAATACATCAAATACGCTTTCCCGTAAATCAAGTAGTCCATTTGTTCAATTAATCCGAAAGACATCATTTAGAAGTTACTATAATGGACTTGCAATAGCAACGACTTTAGGCATACCAGCTTTATCATCATATCTTTTCATTTATGATAAAACAAAATATTTTTTATCAAATAGATTAAATGTTAGTGACACCAGTACGTTGAATTACATGTTGAGTGGAGCCACGGCAGAAACATGTAGCGGAATATTTTGGACACCGATGGAAGTTTTAAAAAGCAAATTACAATCTCGTAATGTCGGTGATAGGATTGATACATTACAAATGTCAAGGTTGATTTTAAAAAATGAAGGAATTAGAGGATTTTTTCGTGGATATTTATTATCTCTAGCGGTTTACATACCACATACAATGATTTACTTTGTTGTATATGAAAAGTGTAAAACCTGGGCCAAAGATAGGGAAATATTAACGGGCAACCGAAATTATGTAATATTTTCGGCAATTGCATGCACGATTGCAGGTTCTTTTTCTAATATGTTGGATATTGTAAAAACCAGGTGGCAAGTTTCCTTTAGCAAGGATATTGACGGTGTCAATGCGAAATCGCCGTTAGATATTATCAAAAATATGTATAGAAATGAAGGAGGATTACGTGCTTTTAATAAAGGCATGGGGGCTAGAGTGATATGGATGGTGCCAAGTGCCTCCATTAGCATGACATTATATGAGATTCTAAAGAATAAAAGGGGTCACATTGAAAATCATTAATATGTGAAGATTTGTTTTTGTATTAAAGAAAAAATTTTCTTCTTTGTAATAATGTTTAGGAAACACAACGTTCTATTATTAGTCGCGTTTTTATTTACAATACTAAAATAATCGTACGAGAATGCTCAAATGCAGGTTTTTAATTAAATTCCTAATAAAGCATCAATTGTTGATCATAACCATATGTGGAAAACTATGATTTATAAATGTAAAACAACTAAATTTTCTTGTTACGTTAAAAAAGTCTCGTTCTTTATTATATCATGACCTGACCTGCTGATTAACTAACTAACTTAAATTTACAATAACAAAAAAATAATAATATATATATTATATATCGGTATAAAAATAAATTGACATTTAATAAGATTTCACACACTCTAGAGATTATTTCTTAATAATATTATCATTATTACATTATAAAATTTAATTAAAGAAGCAACATTTTAAGTTAATAAAAAAAAAATCTTTCATAAATAACAGGTTGTGAATAAAAATTTAACTGTCAGGTTGACCGCCCTGAATTGGTGGTTTATTTTTTCCGAATCGAGTGGCATTCATTCTATTTTATGATAATATGACAGTCATTAAATGTTAATCGATAAATCAGTTGATATGTAAAGTTGAAAAAAAATACATACTCGTCGTCGTTCTTTTTTGCTGGCAAACTATTGACCAAGGTCATAGAATAAAAAATTGTCAAGAAAAATACGATAACCAAGAGACTTTGGGATTTCATTTTTGAAGACGTTAAATTATTGAATTATTTTTAATTTTGGAATTATGAGATTTGAATTTTATTTTATTTTTTTTTTTTCGGTTGAAATTTCTGATCATGTATGTAGGTAGAGGTACGTTTTTATATATCTTCGATAAAATTTTCTCGAGGGTATTTGTATAATTTTTTACCGGGAAGCGGTCTAAATTTGCTCCTTCCCATTTCTTATTGTTATTCACTATTAGGATTTATCCACCTTGTTCATATAAACAATACTTTATTTAGAATGCATTAATGCATCACCCAAATATATTTCGTGCAGTAATGTATATATATATGATCAAGGGGCTCTTTCACAAATTTTAATCTCAAATTCAAAGAAGTTTGAAAGTCTTTATCGAGTTCTAGAGTTACTTTGTACAGTTTATACGAATTTAAGAATCATGCGTCTTTCAAAAGAAAAAACAGCCCTTATGGGCAAGATCAAGGAGTAACAACAAGTAACATAATGCATTTAATACATGATTCTTTTTTTATTTTATTCCCTAAAAGCATTTACGGATAAAATGTATTATAATTTAGGTTCGCAATAATAATATTGCAATTACCTTCATTACTCTTCCATTATAATTCGAGTGTCACAAAATAAAATTAAAATGAAATTCGTACAACGTTTTCTTCAATATTCGGACTCTGAAATTCTTGGAACTAACTGAAAAGAGCTATCAAGCTAACAAAAGATCATTGATTCAATTTATTTTGTGTTCCAAATTAGTAACTTTATAAGAAGAATAATAACATATTTCAATGAAAAAAAAAAACAATTCTTTTAAAAAGACAATTGTTCTAATTTCGTCATGAATATTCAACGTAAAGTCGCCATCGTTACCGGTAAATAAAAATGTTTGTACCCTAACTCCTTATTTACAAGTTGTTAACGTAATAAATTTAATTATTTAAATTTGTAAATTTAGGTGCATCCTCCGGAATTGGTCGTGGTAAAAATATGATATGAATGACGTTTCTTTATATGTTTTGTCACATTGATTAATATACATAAAATTCTTTAGCAATTGCGATTCGCCTAGTAAATGAAGGGTGAATACTTACTATTACCATAAATTTTCCTTATATAAATAATTCATGAAAGGTTCCTTTTTTTAGGGCCAAAGTCGTTATTGCTGATATTAACGAAGATGCTGGCAATTTATTCGCAAATGAACTTAACACCAAGTAAATAAAGATTTTTTCTCCTTAAATTAAATTTGTAAATTAATATTTTTCATATTAAAATAGTAAATCGGAAATTATCGCAATATTTCATAAAACTGATGTAAGTAAATGGAAGGAATTGATCAGCCTATTCGATAAAACTAAAGTGACGTTTGGAAAAATTGACGTAAGTTTATATTAAATAAATCCAATAAATAAATAAAAATTAATAATATAATATTTCGCTTTTTTAAAAAAAAAAGATTGTGATTAATAACGCTGGTATTGTTGGACAACCCAATGGAATGCTGGAAGATTCATTAGAAGGTTTTGAATAGAACAATATATAAATATGTTTCGATGCATAACGTGATTTTATTAGCAAATCACTCATATTTTTGATATTAATATGATGTGACTTTATATATACAGAACCCGATTTTGCAAGAACTTTAAATATTGACCTTTTGGGTGTAGCTTATGGTAATCTATTTATTAGACGATTATTGATATATTATTTAATTTTTAATTTTTAATTTAAATTATTTCATAGGAACTAAACTTGCATTTCAATATATGAAACAAAACGATCCACAAGGAGGTGTTATAATTAACACGGCTTCTGTTGCAGCACTTTATCCAATATTTAACGTTGCAGTTTATGCGGCTGCTAAAGCTGGTGTAAGTAAATATAAATTTTACAGAATTCTCTATTCCTCCTATAATTTCTATCATTTATTCTCCCTTTTAGGTTGTTAGTCTAACTAGATCAATGGCACAAGTTAGTCAATTATTCGGTATTACTGTTAATGCTGTATGTCCGAGCGTTACCGGTAAGTATAGTTATGTTTAGGTAAATATTAAAGCCCAATTTCCTTATCTTTATCGTTAAATAATTAGAATCGGGATTGACGACTAAAGCAATTGGCTTTCTTCCTGAGCATTGGTGGTCACCTGTTAATTTTGTTGTTGATGCATGTTTTAAATGTATTTATAATCCAAAAACAAACGGTAATAGAATAAATTATATTTACAAGTTTTTTATCTGTTTTGTTTATTTTGTTGTTTTAAGAGAATTTTTTCTTTAAATTTAAATTTTTAAATTTCCTTTTAGGATCGATTTTTTCAGTTTGGTATGAAGGAATAAAAGAGGAGAAATTTGAGAAATACCACACTGTATTTGAAGAAATGTTACAAGGAGATTATCAAAATTTTCTGAAAACAAATAATATAAATACGTGTTAATTATCGGTGATTTCACCGAGATTAATAATCACGTGTTTGTACTGTAGTAATCTCAGTATCGTAGTAAATTAATAATTAAATTTTTACTTTTACAATTACGGAAATCATGACCTATACCTTGACATTTTCTTAGTTTCCATTTCCATCATTATTAGCTTCATTTTCTGTGATATGCTCTAACCCAAAATTAGCTGTGTTTGCTTCTTATTTGTTTTGCAGTTTCTCCTTCACTTAAATATCGAGCCCACGTCGTCTTGAAGTTCCTTCCATACTTTGCTTTGACTGAAACAATATTTTGAAGTTTTTCTGTATAAGCTTGACCACCACAAACCTGATGAATGTAATCAAAATTTATTTCTCTATGAACTATCATTTTAAAATGATTACCTTCAACAATTATAGCACATTCAATAAAGCAAGCTCCTCATTAGTAATACTAAGCTTTAAATCATTATACCAGCATTTATTTAATAATGAGATATGAAATTTAACTTGTAGACTTTTTCTAAGTACTTTGTAAAAATGTCTACAAGAAATATTATATGATATCAATAAATTAAAAGTGCAAGAATGACTTCTATCTACTATTAAAGTAATATAATGTGATTTTGTTTGTGATAGATTTTTGGTTTAACTTCCCAAATTTCAATAATCATAACATTTTATATATTTCTAATCATATATTATAGTAAAGTTTTAATATTTCATAATCATTTTCTCAGAAATCCTTCTTATAATCAATATTATTATCAATCTAAATAAAAATGTAAAAGAGTAAATAATATCAGTAATATTTAATAATAAAGAAATTACTAATCCTTCTATCTATTAAATAAGAATTATAAAAGAATAAAGCTTCATCTGATTTTTTGTTAATATAAAAATGCAATGTTAAAAATTCTTTACAAATTTTATTGATATTTCCAAAAAATTTTGAGAGTATGTATATCATTTAAAATATAATATAATAAATAATGTTTATTTTAGTTATTTATTCATATTTTATTTTATTATCAAGCATATTTTGAATTTTATTCTTAAGTTGATATAAAAATAGTTTTATTAAACAGTTTCTTTTAATAACTGATTAAGTAATTCTATTTACTAAGTGCTATTTATTTCATAACTAAAACTTTGTTTATATGACAATTTATTTAACTTTCTTTTGTTAATTCAAATATCTATTATAAATATTTAGCTATTCCTGAATATTTATTGATTAAAATTTTCCTTTAGCTTCAAAATTTTTAGTAACAAGACTATTATAACATAAAAATTCTAATCAAACTTTTAAGTTTCAAATAAATGAATTTCTGTTTTATCTTCTAATAAAGTACTTGTTACTAATTAAGATTTTATGTTATTATTAATAATAAGAAATAAACATAAATTTATGTTATAATGATTTGTTTTAGTCAAAACTAAAACTTCATGAAATTAGATATAATAAAAAATTTAATCAGGTAATATTTAGATTAATAATATAAATCTTTAGATAATTAATATTTAAAGAACTATTTAGGATCTTATTATTTATTATCATAAAAATGGTATAGAAGATTCATAGTATTATTTTTAATTGTATATTTTTATCTAATTTTAAATTATTATATAAATCCCACTTAAAAATTAGATGATCAAGAAATTTTGCATATTAGTAAATATATTAATTTTATATTAGTTATCATATATTTCATAAAATTCAATATCATTAAGTATTAACTATATAAATTTCTGAAATTAAAAAGTTATTTTATTAACTATCATAATTATATTCAAGTTTAACAAAAGTTATACTAATAGAATTTTTTTTAGATTTATAACATTAACTTTTTAAGAACAATTTGTTTAATGAATTTTCCTATTTTTAATTTTCAAGGTTAACAACATTTTTGTCATATAATTTCAAGAAAAAGTATACTTAAAAATTCTTTATTTAATTTTATTTTTTTTGTTTTATTATTAAACTTTTTATTTCATATTGACTAAAGTTGCTTGTTTAAACTCACCTAAACATTTAAATCTTTAATTTTGCTAAATTTTATTAAGTGTTTAATATACAGTATAGGATAAAAAAAACCGTAATTTTTTAATTTCACATTACGCAACAACCAATAGCACAAACTACACAAAATTTATATATTTTAAAACTGAAAAACAGCTTATTTTATTAATATATTTTTTAGTACAGAATTCGTTCACCATGATTTTCTATAATAAGCTCACATCAGCATTTCATTGATCCTACTAACACAATTAGGGTCGATTTCAGAATATCATTCCATTCTTAAACCATAAAACGACATAAATCATTAATATTTTTTGGCATTTTCTTTTCCACATTTCTTTTAATAATACTCTAAAGGGTTTTTATTAGATTTAGGTCAGGAATGTTAGAAGGCCAGTCAATAACTTCAGAAACATTTTCTTGAAGAAATTTTTTATCATATTTACTAGTGTGCTTTAGATCATTGTCTTGCTGAAAACGCCATGCATATCCCAATAAGTCTTCAATCTCTTAAAGATGCATATGAAGTATATTTACATAAAATTTAGCATTTATTATTTGGGAAAAACAATATAAACTTATTTTTCCATTTATGCAAAATCCTCCTTATGCAAAGATCTTCATTCGATCTTTAAGCATAAGGCGTATCAGTCGATTTCCTTTATGCTAACTAAGGTTGCTAGACGAAATTAAGAGTTTAGACAGTTGTCTAAATGGTAAAAGTAAAACTTGATTAAATTATATTAAAACCTTATTAAAAAATCTGCG